TGCTCCGGGTCGGCAGGTAGGCACTTGCGGGACACGTAGCACATCTTCAGAGGCACAGTCCTGCCCTCCCGGAGCTCCCGAGGGGGTAGGAGGGGGGATGACCGCTTCTGCAGGGTGGCGGGAGAGGGGTCCCAGCTGACCGTCGCCCCTGCGGAGGAGTTCTTGAAGTAGGGGGAGATCTCCTTCATGTACTTCACTGGAAGAGAGGCAGCACCCAGCTGAGGGCACAGCATGGGCCATAGCGGCCTCATCCTGCCCACCAGCACCCATCTGCCCCCCTGAAATCCCTTGCACTGTCCCTGCACCAGAGCTAGTACCTCCTTTGCTACCTCCCCGAAGCCATCACCCATGGGTGCTGCAGCGGGTCCTCTGCCCAGCAACCCTGTGGGTGTGGGGAGGGGATGGCACTGGTGGGTGAGGTCTTACCAGAGGGTGACATGACACCTAAGATCCTCCCAGTGCCTCTGCCCCACCACCCCAGCCTGGGGAGCCTCCCAGGCTGGGTAAAAATGGCCTTTTCCCCCTTTTTCTTTCCTTTAACCCAGATCAGTTCACAGATCCAAGTCTGATCGGGTCCCCAGGGCGGCGCACGGAGGCAGGGGGCGGGGAATGGGCAGGAGTCCCAGGCCAAAATTACACAGGCCAAACTGTGCTGGTACAGCCGGTCCCACTGCCAACTGGGAACAAGAGCTCTCAAATACCATGGCTTGGCCCCAGGAAAAGCCTCGAACTGCGTGCTCGCAGCTCGCATGGCCCTGCCCCATGAGTTATAAACCAGGGGCAAGAAACCAGCTTTCAGTCCCCAGCAAGTCTGCCTCCGGAGCCAGAGCCCTCAGAGCCGCGCTGGGACGGCAGCCGGCTCCCGAGGTTTAGGGGACGGGGGAGATGAGAGTCACCGCAAACCGATGGGGCCCCGTAGCCTACATCCTGAAAATTAGGTCAGCAACACCAGCCAAAAAGCTTTGACTGAGCAGGGGAGGATGCCCCGTACACCGCATCCCAGTGGGACCAGTCGTGGTCCTGCCCTGGGCGCAGCATGGGATCAGCTGGTGGCGCCGGGGAAGGGCTTCTCTTTGGTGGCCCTTGGGGAAAGGGCCATGGGACAGACACGTGCCTGCTGCCGTGTCCCCAGCCGCCACCGCTGGTTTCACTCCAGGTCCAAGTCAGCGGCGTGGGTGGCAGGAGGGGGACACGAGCTTGGTTTTGCAGCCAACTCTTGTAGGTGGCTGGTCGGTGGACCAGCTCCATCGCTGCAGCAAAGCCGCTGCAGCAAAGCCACGGCAGCCTGATTTTGTGCCAGAAAAAAGCCCTTTTCCCACCAGGAGAGAGTCTGCACGCAGAGCCTACCATCCCCATCCTTTACCTGCCCACCACCACCTATCTTTCCTTCGTTCCTATCCCAGCGAGCTCCCCAAAACCTCTGAATCCTGAAATCCCGCACACGAGCAGCAGTGCGGGATGGCAGGGAGGCAGAGCCCCGCAGGGTGCCCCGCTCTGCCCAGCCCCAGCGGGACGCAGCTATAAATGGCTGCGACACCGCTGCGGCACGTGGGTCGGGTTACCCCGCACGGTGGCCAGGGCCAAGGAGGCGGCGTGGGGCCACCAGCCTCGTGCCCTGCACCTCCTGTTATAAATAGCCGCCGCATTCCTACAGGCATTTGAGCCGGGCTGGATTTTACCCCAAGTCATTAATCTCGGCAGTGGGGACTGGCCATTATCACGGTGCCTGGGAAGTAACTGGAGTTCAGGAAGATATCACTGAGCCGCTGAAACCCGAGCGGAGTCCCCACGCCAGCCCATGGCTGCCCAGGCACACAGAGGACATCACCTGCATTAGCTGTGCAATGGTGGGGTCACGTCCCGATGGAGTAGAGGAGGAAGGGAGCAGTGCCCGGCCCAGGACAGGGCACGGAGAATTAGGCAATGGCCAGTGCGTATCCCTCTCCAGTACATGGCTTTAAGGAGGATTTAAGGCTGGTGACGAAGCACCGACAGGTTCCCGAGCCGGTGCAGGGAGCCAGGATGCGATGGGGGCTGCGGTGCTCTCTGGGGAGATGCGCACCTGGGGCCAGGCCACCATCCCATGGGAGCTAATGTCTCCGACGACGACAGCAGCAGGCTGCATTTCAGAGACACACGGCACGGTCGGGGGACACAGTGTGACAGTGCCATCCCCAGCCCGCTCTGCAGCGGCAGCCACTGCACCCCTGCCCATCCCTGCAAAGGAAAAACGAAGCCGTGGAGTTTTCCTGGCATGGACTTTATAGTGGATTGACCTGCACTTCTGCCAGTCCCTCCACTGCAGCGGAATCGCCTGGTGTTGAATGGATTAATTAATTACACCCATCTCATTAAAGCAAATGACTCAGACCATGTTATGCATCATCTCTGCTACTGGTAACTGTAATTCTTGTACTGGTGTTTTGGTGGTTTTCTTCATTAACACCTTGCAGTGCTGGGGCTCCCAGGCTGGCTGCCCTCTTCTTCCTAGCCAGCACCTCTCCAAAAATCACTCGGCAGAAACACTGCACCTCCAGCAGGCAAAGAGCCCTCTTGGT